TTTCTTTCCTTTATGTGTGAGTACATTTGATAATTGTCTTTCTGGGTCTGGGTTACCTCAATCAAAATGCGAGCAGGAACGGATCATGCTTTTTTTTTTAAAAAAAAAATCTTTCCCTGCTTATTTTCTCCTTCCCTCTCTTCCCTTCCTTATTTCTAGTGATTTTATTTTTTGCTTTTTCAATGAAGTAAATCAGTAGCTGATGTAAGATCTGTCTCTCTGCTAAAGAAAAACAAACCAGGAGTACATTTTAGCAGCACTGATTAACATGCACCTTGCTGATCACTAATGATTTTTTTTTTTTTTGGTTTTTTTTCGAGACAGGGTTTCTCTGTAGCTTTGGTGCCCATCCCGGAACTAGCTCTTGTAGACCAGGCTGGCCTTGAACGATCACTGATGATTTTGAGCTACTCTAATCTCTATCTATGAAATGTATTTTATTTTTATTTACTTGTATGTGCATGTCTAAGAAACATACATGAATATGGAAAATGTGAAAAGAAATAATCCTCATAACTCCATAGTTTCAATTTTTGTGATATAGAAAGTTGCCCATTCTACTCAAATTGTGAAAAATACATACTAGTTAAGGCATATTTACTTATTTATTCATTTATAGCTTTATTTTTATTTTATTTTTATTAAAACAAGCTATCTTTTTTATTTTACATACCAATCCCAGTTCCCACTCCCTCTCCTCCTCCCATTTCCTCCCCCATCCCACCCTGCATCCACTCCTCATAGAAGGTAAGGCTCATTGCTTTCGGGAAAGTCCAAGGCCCTCCCTACTATATCTATACTGAGCAAGGTATCCAACCAAAGAGAAGAAGTTCCCAAAAAGCCAGTACAAGCAGTGGCGATAAATACTGATGCCACTACCAGTGGCCCCACAGTCTGCCCAGCCATACAACTGTCATCACCATTCAGAGGGACTAATTTTGTCCTCTGTGGGTTTTTTTCCTTGCTTGGCTGGAGTTGATGAGCTTCCACTAGCTCAGGTAGACTGTTTCAGTGGGTGACCCCATCTTGATCTTGACTTCTTTGCTCATGAATTATTTATTTTTACTCAACAAGCATTGATCAAAAGTCTCACATGGTCAAGAAAATGCATGGAGGATATAATACTGAAAAGTTAGTTTTTATTTGTGTAATTTAAAAAATAATCAGTATTCTTATTGTTAACATAACTGCACTACACACTTACTGTATATTAACAGGCAGATTTTATGCATCATGCCCTTTACTACTGAAAAGTGCAGAGTGCGAATGATAAGTAGATTAGTGGCTATGTAATCCAATCCAGAAACATTAAATGCTAGAAGGAGTCGAAGCGTAAGATGTGAAGATTTCCGTTATGCATTAATTTTATGAGGCTACAAATGGTCTTAGAAGGGAGGTTCATGGATTTTTATTTAGGTATAGTACAGAGGAATTATTTTTATGACATTGAAATAATGACCTTTGAGGGACTCTGGTTTCCACTTTGGTTGCTCTAAGTAATATTTTTATATTTGGAACTTTTACCGTCTTCCTCTAACGTTTCACACATGGGGTTCATTCATCTGCCCTCTCATGCGAGAAGCACTCCTTTTAGTTTTCTAGGTTTTCTGCAATGGAATTTCTCATAAATATCCTTTTCTTAAATCACTAATAATTTGTAAATTATTAACTCTTCTGTGTTCAGTCCATGTGTTTGAGTGACGACTAAGTGAGGTTCTACTAAGAGGAAGAAACCATGACAAGCTGACACTCAAGAGCTATATGGGCCCATAGAGCAGTGGTGATGCTGGTTCTAGGGTGCATAGAGCTGGGGATATGGGAAACAAGGGTCATGGAGTAATGAATCCAGGAAGACTAAAATAAAAGCAGCTCTCTATTTCTCTAAAGACACAGATGCGGAGGGGATTGTTTGTCTTGTGTTATGTCAGAAGATGCTTTCTGCCACCATTGATGTGGAGATGATGAACACATTAAAGATACATACAACAGGAAGATTGTAGACTCCTAACATTTAGAATGAGGAGGAAGTCCAGATGAAGGAGCATCTCTGAGAGAGTCACAGTACTTCAGTTTATTCGGCTTGCCTTGGGCTTCACAAATTATTAAACTGTGATCTACCTGTAGGGATAAGTCCCGCCCCTTAGGGGGTGTGTTCGCCTCGGGCTAATGTCTGCCTATAAATTTGGCGAGCAAGCTCCAAGCGCTTGCTTCTGCTTTCCTGGTCTCCACGGGAACGGTGGTTCTGTAAGTCTATTTCTACATTAAAGCTATATATATATTTTTACACTCTGTCTGCATTCATTTACGCCGTTACATCTACCTATGCTCTATGGTCTGGAACTCACCATAGAAAAGAATTTGGAAGTCAGGAGGTAATAGAAATGTCAGCTGGTTCCAAGATATATTTTCTTTTATCGCTTTGGTATCTTATCTTCTTCTCTAGTAAACCCTCCTTTCTCAAGGGAAATCTATCTGATTTAAGTTGAATAAAGCCTACACAACCTAAGAACAGAGGTATGAAGAATACATGACTAACTAAACTTCCTGTTTCCCTGGATGTAATGTTTGCTCTAGGCATGCCAGTAATTTAGAATCTTCTCTGGCAATTTCTGTTAAGTCAAGAAAATTATCATTATTCCCTGTTCTTATGATGGAGTGTGCGTGAAGTGAAGGTAGGGGTTTTTATTTACTTTGCAGAGAAACTATGAGGATATCTATGATATCTGTGAGTATAGGATAGAGGCCAAGTATACTTTGATATTTTTATTTGTCAAGTTTTGATTGCTTAAGCCATTCCTAAGAAAATACTTAAGCATACAGATTAATAAGTTAATCACCTCAAAATCTAATAATCTAATCACCTCAAAATCTAATAATGAATGTAATTGCTTACCATTGTTGGGGTTTAAACAAGTTTCAAGTGTTTAATGTGTATTGTTTTCACATGTTCTAAAATGCCAACAATTCAAAGTAGAAAAATGGTTGAGTGACTTTAACAAATGACACAAAACCAAAATTCACATTTACTTCTTTATGGAGAATTACAGGCATAATCCTCCATCAGGTAAGAAAAAAATGGTGCCAATATGGCTGTGAACATGGATGAACTCCCAATTTGAAAGATTCTAAATTTCCACAAATGTAAGTAGCTCACCAGTATTTTCAATAATAATTTACATAATGGAATTAGTTGCTCACAACTTGAAATGAGGGGGTGTCTAAGCAGGCCGTCAACTCCCCTGAAAGAACGAGTATCTCTACAATAAGTGAGTATTACCTTTGAAATGCCAAGTCAAAATTCCCTTGCTGAATAGAAAGTTCTTGGCTATAGCTATATACGATAGAGGCCATTTTCATATTTATTCTTCTGTGTATTACACTTTGGCCATTTCAATCACATTAGCTTTACTGTAAAGCCTCTTATAAGAGACACTTCCAGCCTTGATTCAGAAAGCAAACATATTCTTTGCTAGTTAGCTTGCTTGAAATTGCACTCAGAAACAACAAACCATCAAAATTAACCCCTTTCTTTCTCATGAATATGTAACTAGCAATCATTTTCACTCTAAGAAATAAAGCATTGTTTTTTGTGGTTGGTGAACATCCCAAAGTTTGAATTCTTTATTTCTTTCCAAAGACATGCAGCCTTACACTCAATATTTCTCATCCTTGCCTATTAAAAGTTGCGAAGATACTTTTGTTAATACACCAGAGACCAAAACTACTAGAATGATTTGAAAACTACCCAAATCATATTCACATCCACTTGGAAACTCAGAATGCCAACTTTGACAGGTAGGAGGTTTGCACATGCAATCACAACAAGACAACGTCATAATAGAGTAGAGTGGGTACTGAAGCTCAGAAATGGATTTTTCTACATAAAGAAGATAGTATATAATGCCTTTAGACATGGAAGAGAGTCCCTATGGAGCCACAGGCATGAACTGAAGTGGTACTCCTCCAGGTCAGGCAGTGGTGCTACCTTAAGACTAGGAGGAAACTGGGAGGGATCATGTCCCAAACCTTCAGACAGACCTGAGCTACACTGATTTTATTTCTGACATCTTGCCTCCAGATCCTTGAGGCAGCTAAGTTCTGCCATGCTGAGCTGCCTGGTCATTGGCACTGTCCCCAGTAGCTCTAGGGACTCAAGAGGATGATTCATAGTATGTCGTAAAGACTACGTCAGAGTTACACATAACAACGGGCTGGTCAAGAGTCATCCCAAGAACGGCAAGTCACCAGAAATAAGGTTATAATGATGCAAGGAAATATTACTAAAATATTCCGAGTGCATCTTGGGCTCAGGGTGTGTGTGAGGCAAAACTTAGCACCTGTTCATCTATGGGCAGTACAGGAATCCATTAAGAATAGTGACCCGAAGCACACCATTACATTATGAAATACCTTATCCCCTCCACAGCACTGTGTTCAATGAAGCAAGAGGATGGAATGATTACCTTAGAGATATTTACTGCCACATATTTTCAGAGTTGAACTGAAGTGGGTTTTCTTTTTAATTTACTAGAGTTTGCTCTGCAACAATGTTCATTGACCATTGACATTTAGTTCTTTTGTTGTTTACTTCATTTATAGTCTCCTTTTAAGAAACTTAAAACTGCTTGTTCATAAAGTAAATATCCACACGCATCATTTCTTATCATTTTAGGGCAGTTAGAAACATCAGATGATAATCTTTAACAGGGGCTTCTGCATGTAGAGAACGATAAATTAAAAATTAGATTTAATATTCAAACCTAGAAGTAGTTTCCAATCATCTTGAATAATAAAAATCAGTGGAATAAAGTTCTTTCTACTTCCTAAGCCCATTGCAGCTGTGAGATAGTAATTCTTCACAGCACTTTTGTTCTCTGTTATTATATTACTGCAGCTCAGCTGAGCACTCAAATTCTCCAAACTTATGGTTAAAAATCTACGTGCATTTTCTTTGTGTATTCTTTGATTAGTGTACAATTTTCTTGTAACATGAAAGTTACCTCATTCTGTAGGTCACGAATCATTTTGCTCTTTCTTTCCACTTCAGTCTTCAAAAAATTAATCTGAAAAAAATAGAAGAGTATGCATATACATTCTCAATATATTACTATGTTTTTTACTTTATATTATTTTGAGGTATCCTGAAATTATTACAGTTTTAATATAAACGTTCAAAAAGAAAAGATCAAAGGTTTCATTAACCAAAACCTTAATTTCCTAGATCTTTATTCAATTTGATATATATGTGTATATATATACATATATATTTCATTACATTAAAGCTTATGTAAGTTTTCAAAGGCACAATTTTATATTAGTGAAATGTATTCATGTTCTTTTTAATAACAGCTAATCTACATTTGTTTTCAACAAATTATGGAACTGATTAAATTAGGGCTACTGATATCAAAAACTCAATCAAGGTAGTAAAGATTACAGTAACTGATATAACTCCAAATATAGTGAATTAAATAATTTTGGTTCTTTTGAAGGGAAGCAGAAGGCCAGCATTCAGTTCCACCATCTACATCCATCTTTTCATGGCAGCTTCCATTATGACTGTTTCCCAGGTAGCATGCATGAGAAATCCACAACCCAGTAAAAGATACCTGAGATTTTGACTCTAAACTATAGAAGCATCTGTTGTCTTTTCTGTGGTGTTTCAGCTAAGGCACCCAGAGAGAACCAGCTGTTCTGTAGCTCACATAGGTAGCAGGTGTTACTGACATCATTTAGTTGAGGAAAGTCAAATGACATGTTCAGATGATTATCAAGACGAGAATAGCAGGTTGCAGAGAGATGTAATGAAGTCAGTATACACAGGTATTTGAGTCACATGGGTAGAGAGGTATAAGAATGATTCCAGATGGAGTCTCTGTTGTCTTTGAGAGCTGAAACAGCTGTACTACTTTCTTGAAGACTCTAGCACCTGACTCCTGATCTTTGCTTTCTATAAAGGGCTGCTGGAGCCTTATGTTACCTGTAAGCACCCTGTCCTTAGAGAATTCATGAACAAAATAGCTTCATCTGTCACTTAAAACTCAAGCCAAATCATTTGATAGTGATGGCATATATAAAACAGAAAATGGTTAAGAACTACCAGGTCTATTATTTCGATCATTAATTCTTGAGGCAAATTTAAACTATGGGGATGCTTTTGTCAAGGAAATATCACTAATCACAATCACTGTCCCATTACATGGGGGAATTCAAGACCTTTGGTAATCCAAAATAATTACCTGTAATGGCAAGATGCTATTTAAAATTTATATATCTGCAAAATCAGGGCATGCTTTCGGATAGATGAATTTCATAGCTAGTTCTACACATAAGTATTTTATTGGAAACAAAATCTTTAAATTGTGAAATAGTTGAAGCACTCTTAGTTTCATTCATAATCTATTCTGATGCCAAACCTTTATTTATTGATAGATTCAGTATGCTTGCATTGCTAATATTCACATTTATTAGGACTATACTGAAATAGATTTCTGTATCAGGCCTGTAATTCTTTAAATACTCCACACAGCCATATGAGAATATGAAACTCAAATATATTCAGAATATTTTAAAATATTAGCATTTTGAGATCACTGGTTTAGAATCCCAGAAGGATATAACTTCCCTGCAGAAATAAGTATTCCTGGTATTGACTTCAATAATGGTTTTCAGAGACAAGAATACCAAGTATGTGCTGTGTGTGAAGCATGGAAGAAAGGAACGTCTTTATGCTTGGTGAGGCTAGAAGCTTTGAGGCAAGTCTTGCTTTAGAATAACGTCTCATCCAAGACAAGTTGAGCTATAAAAGTTAACAGGAGTCATGAAATGCTTCCAAACACCATTAATATCTTTAATTATCATCGTCACACCTGCTAGCCTGTTATCCATGTTGTCTGCCAGGCTTTGGAAAGGCGGACCCAAAGCTGAATGATTTCCTACTGCAATGTCCATGCAAAGATAAAAACAAATCTTTCTGTCTTCATAAAAAGTGTGTTGGAACATGATCATTTCAAGGGGCATCGACTGTTCACATAATACAATTTTTTAGAAATATATTCTTTTTCATATTTTATGACTTAATAAACAGGTTTGTTATTGTATTTCACAGAATTTTATTTTGGACCTGGAAAATACTTTACTTATTGTAACTCTTTTAAGAAGAATTGTACAATCTTTCATTTGTATAAAAAGGTCACAATTCAAAATTCAATCAAGGTCACCATAAAAGTATCTTTCCTTTAAATATGAAACAGTATAACAATATTTGTAAACTCAAATACAATCTCCCATCAGAACGAGAGCAAGGCAATTATAAAAACCTACCTTCCTTGCACAACTGTAATTACTGTAGTAGTATTAGAAGGCAAAATAATTAGTGATTGATTTGCAACAGTAGACTTGTCCAGCACACACATTCATTCAATGTTTAGCATAGGGTGTTTACGTAGAAAGAAAAATCCCAAGTTAGAGGTTCATCAATCTGCTCTTACAATGTCTTCCCAAATGAGTAAAAGGTAAAACTTCACTCACTTGAAAGATGAAAAATTTGCATTTCACATGTTTGTCCCAGATTTTCTTTATTGGCCTGTTTATGAACACCAGGATACTCACATAGTCTTCTTTGGCAGGCCTTCAGGGAACACAAGAGTGAGGAAAGCTCTTTGACACAAGGATTATTTCTTAGCATGCTTTCTGGGCTGGTTAATCTTCATTTCCAGCTTGATTAGATCTAGATAATCCAGGGAAACACTCATAAAGCTATCTGTAAAGGAGTTTCCAGAGAGGTTTTATTGAGAAGGTAGGAGCCAACCTGAAGGTGGGTTTCATCACCCCAGGTGATAGATGACTAAAGAAAAAAATAAAACACAAATAACTGAGAAGTACTTAAAGAAATATTCAACTCCTTAGTCTTCAGGGAAATGAAAATCAAAATACTTTGAGATTTTTTCTTACACCAGTCAGAATGCCCAAGACAAAAAAGAATAAAGAAAGAAAGAAAGAAAGAAAGAAAGGAAGAAAGAAAGAAAGAAAGAAAGGAATGACAGCTAATGACGGCAAGGTGTGGAGTAAGAGACATGCATTTCTGTGGGAGTGCAAACTTGTACACCCATTATGGCAATCAGTACAGTGGTTCCTCAAGAAGATGGGAACTGACCTACCTCAAGGCTGAGCAATATCACTTTTGGGAATATACCCAAAGGACTCTGCATCTTAATACAGAGACAATTGCTCACCATTGTTCATTTCTGCTCTATTCATAATAGCTGGAAATTAGAAACAGCCTAAATGACCCTCAGTGGAAGAATTGATGAGGAAAATGTGGTACCCTTATAAAATAGACTATTACTTAGCTGTTAAAAAATGAAATCACAAAATACTCAGATAAATTACTGGAGCTGGAAAAAAAATCATTTTGAGTAAAACAACCTAGATCCCAAATAACAATAGGGCATATATTCACGTATATGTGAATGCTAGCTGTTAAGTCGATAAGAAGGCTACACTTAATTTGATAAAGAGGTTAGGTATAGAGTTAGGAACTGGTGTGTCAGAGATAGGGGAAGTTTGTACTATCTTAGGAAAGGCAGATAGAATAGATAGTTATGGATGGATGTTGTGGGTGCGGGTGCTGGAACAGGAGGAAGAGGAAGGAGGTCAGTAAAGGAAAGAACTTGTTGAGGCCAGCAAAAACTAAGGGTCATTTGAGGGGTCATATGGAAATCTAGTCCAGCAGAAGCTTTCTAAAACACATGTGAAGGTGATCTTAATGGAATGGCCAAGTAATGGGGTAATGAGGGAAAGAAACCCCAACTAAACATCTTTCATCACCAAATAAAGCCTCCAGTTCCAGGAGTGGGTCACATCTAATCTAAGTCTTGGTCAAAGAGACCCCATAGGCCTATTGCTGAAGAAAAAAGCCTACACAAATCATTAAATATGGAGAAGTCGAACTGGTGCCTGTATAAACCATTCCTACTGAACAGTGTTCATGATACTCGAAGATACTCTGTACACTTCCAAATGAGAAAGGTAAACATTAATCCAGCTACAATACCTTAGATAAACAAAGGTGTCCTCCCTGCAAGATGTGCTAGTGCAGTAGCGGCACAAAGCTTTTGGGAGTCACCAACTAATCCCTGATTAAATTTAAGGTCCACTTCATGAAACGGAACCTATGCCTGACGCTGCTGGTGCAGTCTAGTACCTGAGACTAGACAGGCCAGAGACCTTAAGGGAAAACAAAATACTGCCATTCTGCTGAAGTAACATGAGAATACAGTGACTCCTAACAGCTTCTGATCTCCTCAGTTCACTGTTATCCTTAACCATCAGCAGAGAAGGGTTTTATTACAGTAGATGCAAATAAACACAGAGACCCTACTGCTGGACCAGCTGTGGAGAAACCATCCTAAATGGGATGTCTCCATCAATTCCCCTCTTTCAGGGCTCAAGGAAACCCGTGGAGGAAGCAGATCGGATGAAGGACACCAAGAAACTAAATGACTGGTGGAGGAAGGTCATTGGTTAAGTAATAAATAAACTGCTTGGCCCTCATAGGTTAAAACCTAGGTGGGTGGAGTAAACAGAACAAAATGCTGGGAGGAAGAGGAAGTGAGCTCAGAGACGCCATGTTCCCCTCTCCCGGGTAGACGCAATAGCTCTGCTCTCTGAGGCAGATGCAATGAAGTCCAACCCAGCATGGACGTAGGCTAGAATCTTCCCAGTAAGACTGATGCTACACAGATTATTAGAGATGGGTTGATCGGGATATGAGAATTAGCCTGTAAGAGCTAGAGTTAATGGGCCAAGCAGTGTTTAAAAGAATACAGTGTCCGGGTAATTATTTCGGGGCATAAGCTAGCAGGCGGCCAGGGTGCTGGGGAAGCAGCCCCGCCGCTCCTAACACTAGAAATGACAGCAAGATGGTGCAAAGAGGAAGCCACAGAGATTGTGGTAGCAGCCTGCACAAGATTTGCACAGGTCTGGGCCAGATGGGGTCCCATGATGAGAAGGGAAGTGGACATAAGACCACATCGTTAGGCCAGGAGCTATCTCCAAATGA